GTGGATGACTAATGTGCTACTTTGTATTGGTGAGATGTGAGTATGACATACTGAGACGTTTTGTTCTGGTGACCCCAAATGGACTCTGAGAAAACTTGCAGAAAATAAGTTGTGGAATGATGTCCTTCTGGTTGAATCACTGGAATAAGTATATAGCCTCATTGAATTCGGCACTCGGAATACAAATGCTTAGAGAATGCCTTTTTTTTTCTTTTTGAGTTGGAGTCTCACTCCCCAGACTGGATGGAATGCAGTGGCACACTCACTGTCACGCCAACATCCACCTGCTGGACTCAAGTTGTCTTCCACCTCAGCTTCCAGGTATCTTGAACCACAGCACCTTGAGGATGCATTGATATTAGCCAATAATATCTGATTTTCAGATAAAGAATCACAACCAGGAATCCAGAGCACCAGCTTAACGGCCACAAAGCCTTCCTGACCAACAGCCCATAAATCTACAGGGAGGAGCCAAAAGGGGGATACATGATCTTCTAATAAACAGAACTGTCTGAAATGAACATGGGCTATCGTGAGGAAAAAGTTAATTTCCCCTGAGTCAAGTGACAACTTTGGCAGGCACAGAGGATAGAAATCTCAGGCGTCAGATGGGGATTTGGACTGATGCAAACACTCTTTGGGCATGCGGCTGGAGCCAGTCTCCCAAATGTGCTGGAGGTATCACCTGAGCTGCACGCAGAAGGCTTCATCCATTTTTGTGTCTTGTGGGTGTTTCACTGATAAACTCTCTGTGATACGCCACTGCAATTCAAATTCAGGGTGGCGATCCTTTAGCCTGCTGTTTAAGATGTTGTGGAATGCACAGTTCTGAAAGATACTATTCTGTCTGGGTGGAAAACAGTTTCAGAGACCATTTGCAGTCAAGCAAATGTGCATGTTTCTGTTTGCTTCAATGCCACCCAATACCTTTTCTTGACTCACTCAGCCTTCTGGAAAATAATAGATGAATTTAACTTGCCCTCATTATTGGTTTAAGTGAAGAAGCTGTTAGACCTCAAAAGTCCAGAAACATATCTCAGGCTAAATGCTGAAAAGCATGATTCTTTTTCCAAGAGCACCTCATGGCTTAAAAATATGTGTCCGGTACTTAAAAGAGCTAACATCTTCCAAATAGTCTGACAGCAGAGGAGAAAGCAGCCTTAGAAAGTTGAGTTTGGCCAGGCACGGTGGCTCACGCCTGTCCTCCCAGCACTTTGGGAAGCAGAGGCGAGAGAACTGACTGAGCCCAGGGGTTCAAGACCAGCCTGGGCAACATGGCAAGACCTCGTCTCTACAGTAAATAAAAAAATTAGCCAGGCATGGAGGTGCAGGCCTGTAGTTCCAGTTACTTGGAAGGCTGAGGAGGAAGGATCACCTGAGCCCAGCAAGTCGAGGCTGTGGTGGCCGTGAGCGTGCCACTGCACTCCAGCCTGGGCGACAGAGTGCGACTCCAACTCAAAAAAAGTCGAGTTCTGGGCTACTCTGTTCAGGACACTATCTTTAAAGAAGACGAAGGTTTATTTCATAGTCAGCAGGGATGGTGAAAATTATGTTTTAGAACAAGAAATATTATCTGTCTCCCTCCTTAGAAGTTGAGAGAGCATGCATACAAATTCTTTTCACTAAATTAATCCCTATTATAGCCCTCCCACTTATTGGTTGACCAAATATTTAGTGAGCGCACTGGTGTGTTCAGTAATGTGGGCATGCCGTAACAAACGCAGATACAAACAAGATTCCAACCTGAGCCTGAGGTGACTCGAAATATTTCTGGACAGACAAGATGGAAAAGGAAGCAACCGCGAGGGTATCTGTGAAGCATGCCGGTTGAGTGGTTGGGAAGTAGGAGGAGTCGGTGCCAAAGGAAGAAAAAGAGATTTCGTTTGAGCTCGTTAAGGGGAGAGTGGTTACACTACAGGAGCCAGGTAGTCCTAAGGAAGGGGACCGGAGTGTTTTCTTTGGAGGAAATGTCAAGGACAATGGGAGGCGATTGATTACATTTGGTGATGAAGACATCACTGTTGACCTTCAAGGGTAGGAATTTCAGGAGAGGACGGTATCGGAAGCCAGGCTGTAGTGAGTTACAGGGCAGGTGCCTTTGAAGAAAGAAATGGGACACTCACTGGGATGTTAGATAGTGCAGGGGTGGAAACGGGGGCAATCAATGGGAACGATGCAATCAATGGGAATTTGTTTTATCCTCAGTGGGAGTAAATCGTTATCTTGAAGGAAGAGGCAGATGGGTTCTCGAAGGGGAGAGGTTGAACACGTCTGAGAAAGAATACATTGTAGAATCCCAGAGAGCATCATGTCAGTAAAGAGCCACAGGACCATCTTTAGCGCTTTTGATAAGGAAATGAGCTGTCGCCAAATTTGTTTTTGCGTTTTATGTAAAAGCATTGCATTAAGAAACTCAAGTATCATTCAAGTGGGAAGTTGGCGAAGAGGAAGGATTAAAAGCATTTTCGGGGTAACCCCTTCGGGTCCCCTCCTGTTATGGGAGCTTTTCTGTCCTCTCAATAAATCCTGCTTTAAAAAAAAAATAGTTCCATAATTTGACTCTTATTCTTTAAAGAGCATTGTCTTTTATCTTCTGGGAGTGTTCCTTCCCTTCTGAGTGGGACACCAAGGAATGCAGACTGCAGACAAGAGTGTCTCTGAAGCTTGCCTCTGTCTCTTGTAGGTATCAGGACTTGTGATGCAACCACTGTTTTATGTCATTGATTATTTGAGTAAGGTTTGGAAGAAAGGAGAGTCAAGCAACACCCTTGGCAAACGAAACTTATAACTTCCATGACGCTTACTTTGTTCCAGTACAGAAGTGCTCAGGGGCGATCTTTTATTCAGGAGTGAGTGAATTCCTCACACTTCATGAGACCAGGGTGTGAGTTTTCATGGATGGAGCCGAAACATTAAGAAAATAGTTGCATGTGTATTTGTGTGCGATGACTAAACCTTCCAAGTGTGTATTCGGTTATACAAGAGGACTCAGAATTTATTTATAAAAATATGTGAAGCCGGGCATGGGGGCTCATGCCTGTAATCCCAGCATTTTGGGAGGTAGAAGCATGAGGATTGCCTGAGCCCAGGGGTTCAAGACCAGCCTGGACAACTTGGTGATACCTCGTCTCTGCAATAAATCAAAAACTTAGCTGGGTGTGGTGGTACACACCTGTGGTTTCAGCTGCTTGGAAGGCTGAGGTGGAAGGATTGCCTGAGCCCAGCAGGCTGAGGCTGTGGTAGCTGTGAGTGTACCTCTACACTCCAGCCTGGGCAACAGAGTGAGACTCCAACTCAAAAAATTAAAAAAATAAAAAAAAAACAGAGAGAGAGAGAGCATTGTCTTTTATCTTCTGGTAGAAATTTAATGGAGTTGTTCCTTCCCTTCTGAATGGGACAAACGGAATGCAGACTGCAGATAAGAGTGTCTCTGGGCCGGGCGGGGTGGCTCAACCTGTAATCCCAGCACTTTGGGAGGCCGAGGCAAGAGGATTGCCTGAGTCCGGGGGTTCAAGACCAGCCTAGGCAACTTGTTGAGACCTCGTCTCTACAATAAAATTAAAAAATTAGCCGGGCATGGTGGTGTGCGTCTATAGTTCCAGCTACTTGAAAGGCTAAGGCAGAAGGATTGCCTACGTCCAGCAGGTTGAGGCTGCGGCAGCCATGAGCATGCCACTGCACTCCAGCCTGGGCAACAAGAGTGAGACTCCAACTCAAAAAAAAACCAAAACCAAAACCAAGAGTGTCTCTGAATCTTGCCTCTGCCCTATATCAGGGCTTGTGATGCAACCACTGTTTTATGTCATTGATTACTTGAGTAAGGTTTGGAAGAAAAGAGAGTCAAGCAACATCCTTGGCAAACTAAACTTACAATTTCCATAACACTTACTTTACTTCAGTACAGAAGTGCTCAGGGTGCTTTGTCATTCAGGAGTCCTGAGCCCAGCAGGTCGAAGCTCTAGTGGCCACGAGCATGCCACTGCACTCCAGCCTGGGTGACAGAGTGAGACTCTGACTCAAAAAATAAAGAAATAAAATTGTGTGTTTATTCTCACATGTTTAAACCTCAGTCACCTTCAAAGTATTCTCTGATACATTACACCTGTTGAGATGCTTTTTCCACTTCTTAAAATGGTTTTTGAACTCATCAATTGTGATGCCTTTTAGTGCTTCTGCTATTTTCTTTTTCTTTTTTTTCGAGTTGGAGTCTCACTCGGTCGCCCAGACTGGAGTGCAGCGGCCGCTCCCGGCCACCGCCACCTCGACCCGACGGGCCCCGGCGATCCTCCCGCTTCAGCCTTCCGAGGAGCCGGAATTACAGGCCTGTGCTCCCACGCCTGGCTGATTTTTTATTTATTGTAGAGATGAGGTCTCGCTGCCCAGGCGGGTCTCGAACCCGCGGGCTCAGGCTATCCGCTCGCCTCGGCCTCCCAGAGGCGTGGGACGACAGGCTGAGCTGCCGAGCCCGGCGCTTCTGCTATTTTCTGTTTCACCTCTTCCACATGGGCAAAACATTTCCCTTTAAGGACTTTTTTCATCCGGGGAAACAAAAAAAGCACATTGAGATGAGGTTGGGTGAACAGGGAGGGTGGGACGTGGGGGTCATGCCACTCTTGGTCAAAAGCTGCCGAACACGCAGCGTGGTGTGGGCAGATGCACTCGTAAAAACCATCCATTATGAAATAGGCAAATGTACTGAAAGAATCTCGAAAAAAACATCAACTGAAGCCAAATGCACCCTCTCACAACAACGCTAGCTGGTACACTGACGCTGATGGTTTTCTAGAACACTTACGTAGCAAAGGAAGCCTGTACTTTAAGGGGCCCGTCTCCAAAAGATCATTGGTTTTTTTGGGGGGTAGTCTCCCCTCGTACAACCTCTTTGCTGAGGTTTGTTTGAGATCAACATGAATGCCTCCTGCTCGTTCCGAATGAAAAGTGTCATTTAAAGGAATTGTTTGAGCTGCGGACCTCACGAACTTTCCCTTTGTCCTCCCCAGACACAGGTGTGTTTGCCGTGGTGAACAGCCATTCCTTGTCCTTGCTGGGAAAGCTGACCATCAGCGCTGCCTTTAACATTGTTTATATCTACACCTCTGAGCTTTACCCGACGGTCATCAGGTATGTGTCGCCCACAGCCTCGTTCCCCTTCTCGTGGTCCTCATGTTGTCATTGAGTTGTCATCTGTGCTTGAATTTGAACCAGCAGAGGTATGGCTCTCATTTTATCTGCTTCTGGGGTCAGTGTGGTCCAGCAGCACTTCAGCAAGCAGTTGTAGGCTTAGAATGTGTCCTTGGCTACTACTCTGTGCCTGCTTGGCTGAGGAAAATGTAGCTTAATGGTGGGCTGAATTCCCTCGTGTAGATCATAAGAGAAGTACTACACACTAGATATAACCTGTCATCCAAACAGTGCTCAAATGCTATTACTATTTTGGTGTATTGTCGTTATTTAGTTACCCATCCTGTGTCAGACACATAACAGACAACGGGACAAGGTCCCTGTTCTCACAGAGCCTTTATTTTAGCACAAAATATGGGCATTTTTAAAAGGTAATTTCCTATAGGAATAAGTGAATATTAGATGTAAGTGTTAGTTGTTCAAGGTGGTTTTTAATCAGTAGGACGTGCTTATACTAAAAAGAATAAATTCTCAGCCTCAATTTTCCCTCATAAAATAAGTCTGAAACCAAAAAGCCCAAATTCAGAGGATGGGGTGCAGCTTAAGTTTGCAGAACTGCCTCTGTGGCCTGAGCTGGTTTTCCTTCAGCCCTCTCGAAGTCTTTTTGAGGATCATTCCAGATGGAGCCTTCTCCTTCTCTTGTCCATGCAAGAAGCCTCATGATTCTTTCTGCCTGTTCGTTTAAAATTCCTCTTCTCTGTAAGAGATCAGATCGTCTGCGACTGGCTGGTCGTTTCCTTACTGGTCCTATAACCTGCTTTCTGGCTACTGGTTATAAAACTAGGATGACAATTTCATCCAAACTGGGATCGTTTTGAGAGTGAATGTGGGTGTTAAGAACATTCTGGCTGGGATAACAGTGGGGTCTTCCTACCCCAAGCCACTAACTACCATTCTCTCTCCCACCCACCCCCTTCATGCCTGCTCTCACTATGAAGGTGATGTTCTTGGTTTTCTGACAATATATGCTCAGTCACTTTCCTATTTATATGCCTGACCCCTTAATTGTTAATTAGTTGAGTTTAAATAAGTGGGCAGACTTTTCAGATCATAAAATGCTGGCCCTTTATGATTCTGTTAACTGATGAGGCCTAAGACACAAAAGCCATAAGAACATTGGACAAGAAATACTCAAATGCTCATTTCTAGAATGTTGATCAGCTCAGAAAGTGTATCGTCTTCTATAGACGCACTGTCTAATATGGTAGTCGGTAACCTCGGGTGTCTATCCAAATCTAAATTAATTAAAATTAAATAAATTTAAAAATTCAGTTCTTCGCCTTCACTAGCTACATCTCAAGCACCCTGTAGCTGCATGTGTCTGGTGGCTTCCATGTTGCACCGTAGAATTATAGGCCATTTCCAGCATCACAGAAAGTTCTAGGAGGCAGCACCGCTCTATAAATGCATCCACTTGGGGATATATGATTCGAGGCCCACAATCAACCCCCAAGGATCTTTAAAGTGTCCACTTGGAACTTACAGCTTGTTATTTCTTACCTTTCTTCTGTCTTTTCAGGAATGTTGGGCTTGGAACGTGCTCCATGTTCTCCCGAGTCGGTGGGATCGTTGCTCCCTTCGTCCCCTCACTGGTCGGTTTCTACCTGCTCTTGGACTCTCTGCTTTGGATATGCTTATGCTTTTTTGTTTTGTGAGTCGGAGTCTCACTCTGGCGCCCAGACCGGAGCGCAGCGGCCGCTCCCGGCCCCGCAGCCTCGACCCGCCGGCTCCGGGGTCCTTCCGCCTCCGCCTTCCGAGGAGCCGGAACTACAGGCGCGCGCGACCACGCCCGGCTGGTTTTTTGATTTATTGTGGAGATGAGGTCTCGCTGCCCAGGCGGTTCTCGAACCCGCGGGCTCAGGCTTATGCTTTTGAGTAGTAGAAAGAGGTAATGAACAGATGTCATTTAAGATCAGCAGACGCAAATGTGAACCTTGTGTGTTTTAGGTAGTACTCGGTCAGGAAGATGGTGCTCTTACCTTACCCCCAATGGGTCTGATCCTTTGATCATCTGGATTCATTGAAGGGTCTGCTAATGCTGGTGGACCCCATTCTTGTCCCCACTGATAAGTCAGTAGATAAACATGTATTAAGCTTCTGCTGTGTGCTGGACCCTATGCTGAGCACTTTCTGTATACTATTGCATGCAGTCTTCACAATAACCATAAGAGGTAGGCATTGTTGTCACCTCTGTATCAAAGATGAGGTGAAATACCTTCCCCCAAGGGCACACCACTTGGAAAAGAACATTAGAGGAGAGATATGCCTAGCAGTGTGTCTGTTCAAATCTTTTTGGCATTTTTTGAGTTTCATAGTCAACAAAAAGGTGAATAGACTAAATAGTCCTGAAATCCTTCCAGTCTTAAAATGCCCAGGTTCTGTGAAAGGATCAGGGGCCCCTACACAAGTCTCTCCTTGGTTTGATTTGTGACTCTCCCAGCCAGGACTTTTTGAAAGGTGACTGGATTTAGTGTGGGCTTATGGACCAGTTCTGTAGACAACTGTACATTACTAATTAGAGCAGGTCTCTGAAATAACCCGGTAGGTAGCCTTTTCGTTTTCTGAGTTGCAATACATTTCCTTTTTCTGAGTATCTGTCTCCATGTTTCATGCTTAATTTTAAGTCCCGAGACTCTTCTTATGAGGGAGTAATGTGAGCTCCATGTTTCATTCTGCAAAACGAAGCAGTTGATTGTTCAAAATATCTGACTTTGGATGGCTCTCCTAGAACATTGTAATACCCAGCACTGTGTCTCTGTTGATCCCTGCTAAGTTTAGAAGAGGGGAAAGTGTGTTCCCTTTGCTTCAACCACACACCCACAGTGCTGGACATGTGTTTGCATGTAAGAGTCTAGAAATGAGAGATTCTCCTTTCTCTCTTGCCCTTACCCCCCACTCAATTTCCCTCCACCTCCCCACCCTCCACCCACTTTCCTCCTCCTTCTGCATCATCTCTTCACTTTGTTTTCGTGTTTTTCTTTTTTGATTTTTTTTTGTGAGTTGTAGTCTCACTCTGTTGCCCAGGCTAGAGTGAAGTGGCATACTCATGACCACTGCAGCCTCCACCTACTAGACTCAGGTGGTCCTTCCACCTCAGCTTTCCAAGTAGCTAGAACTACAGATGCACCCTACCACACCTGGCTAATTTTTAAAATTTATTGTAGAGACAAGGTCTCACCAAGTTGCCCAGGCTGGTCTCAAACCCCTGGTCTCAGGCAATCCTCTCACCTCAGCCTCTCAAAGTGCTGGAAGTATAGGCTTGAGCCACCGTGCCTGGCCTCTTCACTTTGAAAAATCAGGAAAACATTGCCTGAGGGGATATCCTAATTAGTAGTGGACCTACCCACAGAGTTGGAAGCCCAAACCAGAAGACCATAAAGCTTACTACCTCCTGTTCGGGAATTCTAGAATGTAGATCAGCTCAGAAAGGCCCCAAAGCAGCATCCTGCAAGCAACTGTTTTCTGTACTATCTTTGAGCCTCTTTGCATTGAAACATTTCCATTTTGCTAAGCAGATCTTTTAGAGCCCTGAAACCAGTGCTTGTATTCCCAGCTCTTTACCGTGTTGAGCTTATTGGTTTACAAACCAAATGGATGTGGGAGGGCTTTTTTTTTTTTCTCCAGAGTTTTAATACCTTTAGTCTCTGGATCTCCCAGTTACGGCGTTAAGGTATGTGGGATGATTTGGCCAATTCCAACGTTAAGACCTTTAAAGTTCATCATCAGCAATATTTTGGGGTGTCTCTTATGTGAAGAGTAAGTGGAGGTCAGTGTGTTACAAGCTGCCCACCTGGAGTGGAAGCCAAACATCAGCTGTCTTGTCAACTCTGGCCATCTGTGCCTGCCAGCTCAGGGGCAGCCTGGCCTCTTCTCCCATAGTGCCTGCCCACTCTGGGCATGACAGTCAGCTACTTCTGATCCACAGATCCACGCTGTCCTCTTATTTACTCACTCCCATCTCTACAAGCCTGAGGAATCATCCTACAATTCCCCAGGGTAATTCTCTTTGGACACAGAAGTGGTTTGCAGTGCAGTGGGAGGCCATGAACTGGGTGGTAAACATGCCAGTTCCCCAGTCACGAGATGGCTGGCGTCATGTGCTAGGAAACTGACACTCTTCCTCTGTTTATTTTTATTCCACTCCCTCCTCCCACAGAAATATGTGCAGGGGTCTTTGCCCTTCATTGTCTTCGGAGCCACCGGCCTGACCTCGGGCCTCCTGAGTTTACTGCTGCCAGAAACCCTTAACAGTCCATTGCTAGAGACATTTTCTGACCTTCAGGTGTATTCATATCGCAGGCTGGGGGAGGAAGCGTTATCTTTACAGACCTTGGATCCTCCACAGGTATGGTGATATTTTTCTTAATCATTATGCTACTTGGAAGATGACAGTTGTTGGAAAAAAGGATGCTCAGGTTAATTTAAACAGAACTGAGTAAAACTGTTGGAAAACAAAGGTAGAATCTAACAACACCTGATTTTCAGAGAAATAAAAATGATCGATGATTCGTTCACTTTCTTAGAACACTTTAGGGTTTATTTCTTGGGGGAATAGATGTCATAAAAATACATTTGTCAGTTGAGTACCTAGATAGTAATGTAATTTTAGAAATGTCATGACATCATTTTACTGTCCCTTCTTTCCTTTTTCAGTGTGCGGACAAGGAGAGCTCTCTAGGGAGCGAGAGTGAGGAGGAAGAAGAATTCTACGATGCAGATGAAGAGACTCAGATGATCAAGTGAAGAGCCCCAGACTCCTCCTCAGAACCAGGGGATCAGCGTTTTTGCCTCTGGCTAAAATAGGTTCTTCCATGAATCTTAAGACAGTTGTAGGAAGACAGGCTTGGCTTGAACATACATAGGTGGTACTCAGTGTGGACTGATTTTTTTAAGGCACCAAAGAAGATGGAGAAGAGATTTTGGGAGAGACAAGATCACTTCATTGAGAGCAGATGTGTTCATTTCTCTAGAATTTAAGTTCAGCTCAGAATCATGACCTCTGGTCAAATAGCTCAAATCCACATTCCAGAGTGGTGGGCTCATTTGTTTCCAGGGGTTTTGTCATGTTGCTTTTTTTTTTTTTCATGACCTAAAGGCAAATATGTAAGATTTCTCACCATTTTAGTGGGATAGGATAAGCTGTCCTTAAGAGTTCATCTTCATACCACTGTTCACTTCGTGCCCTATCAGTGGCTCCCAACAGGAATCTTCTGATGCAGGTTGATGTTAGTGTTTCAACTTTACGTCCAAGGAAAAGCACTCAGTGGTCATGTGAGTGACCCGAAGCACCCCTCTCCGTCCCCTCCCCGTCCCCCCACCAGCTTTATCTCAGCTGATGAAATATGAGTCTTCAGCTTGCAGCTTGGTCCCCAGGCTGTTGGTTGACTTATGTCCTTAGTCCCAGAGGCAATTCATGAATCAAAGTCAGATGTACTAAAGCCATTGATTCAGTGTCAGAGACGCGGCTGTGTCTTCCTGTGAGCTCCCTTCGATACTTAAATTTTGTGATGTCTTTCATTCCCACTACTATGCCTCTCCAAAAGATTTTCCATCTGGGATTTTAATACTTCAAAATTATGCACAGTCAATGATAAACTTTAAGTAAATAACAGTTTAAAAAGTGTTGTGAAGCCGGGCGCAGTGGCTCATGCCTATAATCCTAGCACTTTGGGAGGTGGAGGCAAGAGGATTGCCTGAGCTCAGGGATTCGAGACCAGCCTGAGCAACATGGCGAGACCTTGTCTCTACAATAAATCAGAAAATTAGCCAGGCATGGTGGTGCGTGCCTGTGATTCCAGCTACTTGGAAGACTGAGGCGAAAGGATCGCCTGAGCTCAGCAGGCTGAGGCTGTGGTGGCCGTGAGCATGTCACTGCACTCCAGCCTGGGCGACAGAGTGAGACTCCAACTCAAAAAAAAATTAAAAAATAAAAAGTGGCATGTTGAGCACTTGGATGTAAAAAAAAGTGAAGTTTTTAATAATGGAGAAAGGAAAATTACCCTTCTCACGTTTTTATTTGTTTTGCTTTCAGTATTGTGCAAAGAGGGCCTTGGACAACACTTCAGAAGTTGAAGTCCACTTGTCCTTGACCTGCCCCTGCCTGTTTAGTCAGAATGGAAGGCTCCATGATTTCATAGGAAATGCTGGTTTTTCATAAAGTGCTATCAACTTCCACATGAATCAGAATCATACTTAGTTTCTTAACATTATGTGCTGAAAATACCTGTTTCCCCGTGACACTTGAATATTATCTCAAGTAGGAATTTCAAGCTGGAGTAAACAGACTTGGGCAGTACTATTAGAGGTCACTTTCCCAATGAGGACAATGTCTGTGTTTTCAGAATATCCATTTCTACTAATCTCCTGGAGGAAAGGAAATTGTACTAGAGGTAAAGAGAAGATGTCACTGTGACCAATTCTGGAAGCGTCACTCCCAGCTGACTCCAAATACCCTCCTGGACCCTTGCACTGTATCCATCTGTACCTTTGTATTTGTTAAAGTACTTTTATGAAGTTGGGCATGGTGGCTCACACCTGTAATCCCAGCACTTTTGGAGGCAGAGGTGAGAGGATTACCTGAGCCCAGGGGTTCAAGACCCAACTGGGCAACATGGTGAGACCTTGTCTCTACAATAAATAATAATAATAAAAATTAGCCGGGCGTGCTGGCATGCACCTGTGGTTCCAGCTACTTGGGAAGCTGAGGCGGAAGGATCGCCTGAGCCTGGCAAGTCGAGGCTGTGGTGGCTGTGAGCATGCCACTGTACTCCAGCCTGGGTGACAGAGTGAGACTCCAACTCAAACTCACAAAAAAGTACGTGTATGTGCTTTATGCCCTTGATTATGTATTTCTTCCTGATATGCCCAAAACTTGGGCTTAGACTCAGTAACGACCTAGTAAATATTACAATTTGTAGCCATCAGGGAGAGTGAAATTTCTCCTAGTACCATTTTTACAAACTCCAGGCACATCTGACCCAAACCCCCAGATTGCAGAATCCTACTTGTCTTTCTCTAGAAAATGGAGACCTGCTTACCATCATAATCGAAAGAGAGGAAGACCTTACAAAGGCACTTAGAAGTTCTTAAATGTCTGGGCATTTAAAATAAATCAGTGAACTAATACATACCGGGGGTGCCAAAAAAATCCACGCATTTGAAGAGGTGTTATCTATATATTACTTTTAGTTCGCCTTAATCAAAAGTGTCTGGACGATGATGGTAACCACTTTGAGCACTTCTTGTAATTGCACAAGTCAAACATGACTTGTATATGCATCATTTGTTACTGGCGTATATTGATTATCACAATTTTAATACAGTTTTTTTCCTTTTGTAAAATGTACATACACTTTTTTGTCACCCTCTGTATATAATTTTTGATTGACTGGAGCTTTCTTTGCATTACATCCCATTACAGAAAATTTGGAAACTAGAAATTAAAAAATGTATTGATCAGGCACAGTGGCTCACTATAATCCCAGCACTTAGGACGAGAGGATTGCCTGAGCCTGGAGTTCAGGACTAGCCTGGGCAACATAGCGAGACTTCGTCTCTACAAAAAAATCAAAAAATTAGCCAGGCGTGGTGGCATGTGCCTGTAATCACAGCTACTCAGGAGTCTGAGGTAGAAGGATCCTCCCTGCCAGGAGGTCCGGGCTGTGGTAAGCTATGATTGTGCCACTGGGTGACAAAGTGAGACCCCAACTCAAAATAAATCAATAATTTTAAAAAAGTATCACCCATAGGCCAAACATCCAGAGACAGCCAGTGTTAGGGCTTTGTTTCATTGGAAGTTGGATTGGGAGTCCATTTCTCTGTTGGCACTGGAGATCCCTCCGCCAGTGTCTAAATGAACAAGGGTTTAACTAGCCCTTTCCCTTGTTCTTCTCACAGTGATCAGGTGGAAGAAAGGAGGAAGACCCACAACTTGAATACGTGCTGCTTAATAAGGCTGGGCTGGCCATCACCTGTTCGTGTCAGATGTGTCACTGAGTTTTCTATCAAGATGATCCTTTAGCAAAGTTTAATAGTTACTGTTTTTTATTTCCACTGCCTTTATAATAGCAGATTTTTCTCCTTTTGATAATAACTGTTGAGGAATATTCATGTAGAGAATGTATACATGTGTATATTTGCATTGATTAAATTATTGGAAAACTTTTAATTGATAGGTAGCATATTTTGTTTGTGCCAATGATTTGTAAGATGTGTCTTTTTTTCCCTATTCTGTTCAGAATTAAATTTCTTGTCTCCAAAAATGGAGCTAGAAAAATGTAAGACACATAAGATACCCCAGGATTTCCATGTCAAAGTTCTCATTAACAGCTTGTTCCGAACCTTTACCACAGGGATATGGTCAGAAATCACATTGCTGTGTTCTGATTTTGTGGATAAAAAACCACAGACCAGCCGTGCACAGTGGCTCACACTGTAATCCCCAGCACTTTGGGAGGCAGAGGCAAGAGGATTACCTGAGCCCAGGGGTTCAAGACCAGCATGGGCAACTTGGCAAAACTTCATCTTCTACAATAAATGAAAAAAATTAGCCGGGCATGGCGGTGCATGCCTGTAGTTCCAGCTACTTGGAAGGCTGAGGCGGAAGGATGGCCTGAAACCATAAGGTCAAGGTTGCAATGGCCATGAGAGTGCCACTGCATTCCAGCCTGGGTGACAGAGTGAGACTCCAACTAAAAAAAAAAACAACAACAAAAACCAAAAAAAAAAAAAACCACAGGCCATTGGAAAGCCAATACTTGTCATTTGGCTGTTTTCAAGCAATGCAGAGATTGTTTAGTCTTTAAAATTAGCAAATAAACAATACAGTGAATAAACAAAACAAATGTTTCTAAGACACTGCTTAAATGACTACAACTGGGACAGTTATTTTTGTGGCAGTCAAATTGATGAAGATACTTTTAGTAAATGGTTTTTATTAACAAATATATATTGAAAAAATTGTCACTATTCTATCAAAATTAAAATACAGTTTTGCCTTAAGTCTTACTCCACACAAAGTCTTGATCATTGGTTCTTAAATTAGAAAAGCATTATGGGTTAGGTTTTTTGTTTGTTTTTAAGTCAGAGTTTCTGTCACTGATTTACATGCTTACAGCCACTATAGCCTCGACCCGCTGGGCTCCGGCGATCCTTCTGCCTCAGCCTTCCAAGTAGCTGTAACTACAGGTGTGTGCCACCACACCCAGCTAGTTTTTTATTTATTTATTTATCATAGAGATGAGATCTCTCCCAAGTTGCCTGAACTGGTCTCAAGCCCCTGGGCTCAAGCAGTCCTCTCGCCTCAGCCTCCCAAAGTGCTGGGATTACAGGCGTGAGCCACTGCCCCCGGCTCATGTTCTGTTCTATTTCATTTTTTGAAATGCTGTTTGTGACCCACTAAATCAATTTCATGACCCTCTAGTGGGTCCAGACTAGTGAAATCTAAACTAGTAGTTTGAAATCCACTGTTCTGCTGTATCTTCTTACACTGCAGAGGCTTTAAAGAAAAACACATTTCCTGAATTCCTTTGCAGCTAGGCTTCCAGGTACAGTTTGGTTTCAGATACACCTGGAACTTGGGAGGTGGAAGCTAGGTGGAAGCCACACTTCTGATGGGTCTGTTTTTTTCTGCACAGATTCTCAGTGGTAGAACCATTTGGTTTCTCTGAGGCACTATTAGCCAGAGATGTTTTCTGCCCTAGGGCCAATATTGATTAAAATCTTACCAAGATTTTTTACATGGAACCTAGAATAATAATTCTAGTATTCCACGGAAAAGTAAAGATCCAAAATATTCAAGATAATCCTGAAGAGGCAGAACATGCAAAAGGGACATAACTTTCCATATATCAACACTTAGGAAGCTGTATTATTGGTTATCAGTAGACAAGTAGATCAATGGAACATAAGGGAGTTAGTTTTTGTATATGGGGAGAGAGAGGGATCAAGTTTCATTTTTCTGCATGTAGTTCTCCAGTTTTCCCAACACCATTGGTTGAATAGGGTGACGTTTCCCCAGTGTACGTTTTTGTCTAGTTTGTGGAAGAGCAGTTGGTTGTAGGTATTTGGGTTTATTTCTAGAGTCTCCAAGGGGGTGAGGGTTCAGAAACTACCTATGGGGCACAATGTTCATTATCTGAGGAATGGGCCACCTGAGACCCCATCCCCACCACGGCACAATATGTCCATGGAACTGAATCTAAATTTTTTTTTAAAAAGAACAAAATGGAGATTCCAGAAAAAGATCATATAACAATTTGACGTTTGTTACAGATGGCAAGACATATCAATGGGAAGAGAGCAAACTACTCAATTATTGGTATGGGAGTGATTGGGATTTTATATCAAAGAAAATAAAATTAGGTCTTCTCACCA